GATACCTGTGTCTGCAGCAGGAGAGGAAGAGAGAGATGGAGGGATACCTGTGTCTGCAGCGCCGGAGGAAGCGCATAATCTTGCGAGCCGCCTGGTCCTGCTTCTTTGTCAGGAAGGAGCCCCTGAGGATGAACGGACAGAGTCAGAAAGACACACTTTCCTTTTCTCTCTCATCCTCCCTGATTCTCTTCTCTCCTTCCCCCACCTGCCATCCCTCCTCTCACTCCTTGATTCTCTCTGTCCTTCCCTCCCTGTGTCTCACTCACTTCATCTTGGTGTTGGAGGGGTTGGCGCGGTGGGCCTGTTTCAGCCTCTCATACTCCTTGTAGCTGCGGTAGTACTGCTGGATCAGCACTGCCGCCCGCCGGCTCTGCTGGAACTTCTTCTGCTCGTAGTAGCTGCGGAACTTGCTCTGAATCAGAATGGCAGCTTGCGTCATCTTCTTATACAGGGCGTACTGTCAGGGAAAAGGAGAAAAGTTAGGTGCAATTACTCAGCAATCCACCTGTGTGGAAGAGTGTTTAAACTGACTCACCACATCTCACCTGTGAGGCACAGACATCCTGGTGCACACTGCACACGCGCACTAAGGGACACGCACTCACTGACCGAGGCTGCCAGAGTACGAGGCTGGGGCACAACTGATGTGCTGCGCTCCGATTACTTCCATTACAACATTTTCTAACCTGTTACACCTGTTCTGCTGTAATATCTGCTCCGGGTCAATGTGTATTCTGATCTGCTACTTCTGTGTCTCTCCTCCCTACCCCATCACTACTGCCGGGCTGTAAGGGGCTGTATGGGTTACAGGGACTCCCAGAAGGTTCCCAGAAGGTCAAGGATTTGATTCTCCAGTGAGGACACTGCTGCTGTCTCCTTGATTAAGGTGTTATACCTTAAGCAAGCTGTATGAACTGTAGCTAGTGGGAGGAATTAACTTGCAGTGTATAGTATCGCCTCATACAGGGATAGGGGGTCGCTTCTCACAAATCTGCTCCACACCACAGAAACCAGGATCAGCTCTGACTTTGAGACTAATTTCGGGGCGCTGAGACAATACTAACAATTTTATGTGATTGAAACAAACACAGCTGTCAGTGAAAAGACACAGGAGGTGCAGTGAGCGTGTGGGAGCGAGGGACCTGAGCAACTGGAGACAGCCACTGAGAACAAGCAAGCAGCGATACAGGTTAGACTTTACCTTCAGTGCTATCCATGTTAGCTAGCAGAGAGAGAGAGAAAGACAGGGTGTGTTAGTGTGGGTTAGTCACGGAGAGGTAAGCTGTTAGCAAGCACAAAAAGCGCACACACACACAAACAGCAGAAGTCACACTGAGAGACACACTGATTCTGTACACTAAAGCACTAACACTGACACACTGAGTGATAATACTAACACACTCACACTGAAACATTGACTGATATACTGATGCTCTCTCACTGACACACTAATATACTGACACACTCTCATTGACACACTGACTGATATACTGTCGCATTTCATCTCTGAGATACTGACGGACACACTGACTGAGATACTGACGGACTCTCATTGACACACT